ATAAGTAGAAGTACTAAATAAAGGAGGAACCATTCAAAAATTATAATTTCAACAACTTACATAGTACAGTAAGATATAAATAGAAACAACAAAGTTAAAAATTGGAGGGACAAATTTAAAACATTGATTTTTTATTAGTTTTTCTTTTATGCAAATAGTGTTATATTGTTATCAGGTTAAAATATGGGTCTTAAATTTGCAAGCCTCATTGTAATCTCAAACCAAAAAAAAATACAGAGCAAAAAATACAAAACAAAAATACAAAGGAAGAAACTAAAGTATATCATCAAAGAAAAATCATGTTCACTACAGGAAGACAGGAAGCAAAGAAAGAAGAAAGAGAAGACCACAGAACAACCAAAAAATAGATAACAAAATCACAGAAGTAAGCCCTTACTTATCAATAATAATGTTGAGTGTAAGTGGACTAATCTTTCTAATCAAAAGATGTAGACTAGTTGAATGGATGTAAACCAAGACTCATTGTTCTGTTGCCAACAAAAAAAAAAACACTCCACCTATAAAGATATACATAGACTAAAAATAAAGGTATGAAGAAAGACGTTCTATGCCAATGGAAACCAGAAAAAGAGGAGTTGCTATACTTACATCAGACAAAATATACTTAAATACAGAAACTATAAGAAGAAACAAAGAAGGCTATTATGTAATAATAAAGGGATCAATCCGGCAAGAAGATATAACAATTTAAAATATATATGCAAATCAATAACAAGAAGAAATTTGAAAACTAAACACATGGAAATTAAACAGTACGCTCCTAATGACCATTGGGTCAATGAAGAAATTAAGAATTTGAAAAGTTCTCTTTAAACAAATGATAATGGAAACACAATATACCAAGAGAGTGAAAAAACATCCTTCAAACATGAAAGAGAGATAAAGACATTCCCACACAAAAGTGAGAGGCATATTTATAGCTGTAAGTGGCTACTTGCAGCAGTAATAAGAAGGATATTGATAGCTGTGACTACATCAAAAAAGAACGACTTCAAAGAAACAATTTAACAATGTGTCTTAAAGAATTATAAAAGCAAGAGCAAACCAAACCCAAAATTAGTAGAAGGAAAGAAATAATAAAGATCAGAGCAGAAATAAATGAAATTGAAATTGAAAACACACACACACACACACACACACACACACACACACACACACACACAATAAAAAAGGTCAATAGACTGGGTGTGGTGGCTCATGCCTATAGTCCTGGGACTTTGGGAGGCTGAGGCAGGTGGAACATAAAGTTAGATCCAGTCCTCCTGGCCAACGTGGTGACACCCCATCTCTACTAAAATACAAAAAATTAGCTGGTCTTGGTGGTTTGTGCCTGTAGTTCCAGCTACTCAGGAGGCTGAGGCAGGAGAATCACGTGAACCTGGGAGGTAGAGGTTGCAGTGAGCCAGGATTGCACCACTACACTTCAACCTGGCAACAGAGCAAGACTCTACCTAAAAAAAAAAAAAAATCAATAAAACAAGTTTGTTTTCTTAAAAGTTTTTTAAAAATTGACAAATCATTAGCCAGACTAAGTAAAAGAGAGAGAAGATACAAACAAAATCAGAAATGAAAAAGGAGACATTGCAACTGACACTGCAGAAAGTCAAAGTATTATTAGTCTCTACCATGAGCAAGTGTATGCCAATAAATTAGAACATCTAGAAGAAATGGAAAAATTTCTAAATATATACCACCTCCCAAGACTAAACCAGGACGAAATTCAAATCCTGAGCAGACCAAGTAATGAGATCAAAGCCATAATGGAAAGGATCCCAGTAAAGAAAAGCCCAGGACTTGCTGGCTTCACTGCTAAATTCTACAAACATTCAAAGAAGAACTAATACCAATTCTACTCAAACTATTTTAAAAAATAGAGGAGGAGGGAATACTCCCAAACTCACTCTACAGGGCAGTGTTACTTGGATATCAAAACTAGACAAAGGCACATCAAGAAAAGAAAAGAAAAGAAAACTACAGATCAGAATAATTGATGAATATTGATGCAAAAACCCTCAACAAGATACTGCAAACCAAAAATTCAGCAATACATTAGAAGTATCATTCATCATTACCAAGTGGCATTTATTCCTGAACTGGTTCAACATAGGCAAATCAATCAATGTGATACATCATATTAACAGAATGAAGGATAAAAACTATATGATCATTTCAATTGATGCTCAAAAAAGTATTTGATAAAATTCCATATCCCTTCATGATTAAAAATTATCAAAAAATTGGTGATATAAGGAATATACCTCAGCATAGTAAAAAGCATATATGACAGATTCAGAGCTTGTATCATACTTAATGGGGAAAAACCAAAAGTTTTTCCTCTAAGATCTGAAACATGACGAGGATACAAACTGTCACCAGTTATTCATCATAGTACTGGAATTCCATGTACTGATGAATAGAATGTATATTCTGAAGTTGTTGGGTAGTATATTCTATAAATATCTGTTAAGTCCATTTGTTCTAGGGCATAATTGAAGTCCATTATTTCTTTGTTGACTTTCCATTTTGATGACCTGTTTGGTGCTTTCAGTGGAGTGTTGAAGTCCTCCACTATTATTGTGTTGCTATATATCTAATTTCTTGTGCCTAGTAATAATTGTTTTACAGATTTATGAGTTTCCATGTTAAATGCCTATAAATTTAGGATTGTGACATTTTCCTATTGGACTGATTGCTTTATCATTATATAAATGTCCCTCTTTGTCTCTTTTAACTGCTGTTGCTTTGAAGTCTGCTTGGTCTGATATAAGAATAGCTACTCCTGGCCAAGCGCAGTGGCTCACGCCTGTAATCCCAGCACTTTGGGAGGCTCAGGTGGGCGGATCATGAGGTCAGGAATTCAAGACCAGCCTCACCAACATGTGAAACCTCATCTCTACTAAAAACACAAAAATTAGCCAGGCATGGTGGTGTGCACCTATAGTCCCAGCTACTCAGAAGGCTGAGGCAGGAGAATTGCTTGAACCTGGGAGGTGGAGTTGCAGTGAGCTGATATCATGCCACTGCACTCCAGCCTGTTGACAGAATGAGACTCTGTCTCAGCGGGGCGAGGGGGTGGGGAATAGCTACTCCTGCTCCCTTCTGGTGAGATCACATGATAGGCCACAAAAGAAGTCTCAATAAATTTAAGAAAATCAAAATTATATAAAGTACCCTTTCAGACCACAGTAGTATAAAATTAGAAATTACTCCAAAAGGAATCATCAAAACTATACCAATACATGGAAATTAATTTGCTCCTTAATGATCTTTGGGTGAACAGTGAAATCAAGATGGAAAATTTAAAATTCTTTGAACTGAGCAATAATACTGACAAAACCTATCTAAACCTCTGACACAGAAAAAGCAGTGCTAAGAGGAAAGTTCATAGCATTAAATGCCTACATCAAAAAGCCTAAAAAAGCACAAATAGACAATCCAAGGTCACACCTCAGGGAACTAGAGAAACAAGAACGAACCAAACCCAAACCCAGCTGAAGAAAATTAATAACAAAGATCAGAGCAGACGAAATGAAATTTAAAAATATATATACAAAAGAGGGAAAAAAACTGATTATTTGAAAAGATTAACAAATTTGATAGGTCATTATCAAGATTAAGCAAGAAAGTAGAAGATACAAATAAGCTCAATTAGAACATAACAGGAAGTATTACCACAGAAATACAAAAGATTATTTAAGGCTACTATAAACACCTTTATGCACACAAATTACAAGATGTAGAAGAGATGGATAAATTACAGGAAATCTACCAGCCTCTTAGATTATATCAGGAAGAAACAGAAACTCTGAACAGAGCAATAATAAGTAGTGAGATTGAAACAGTAATTTAAAAATTTGCCAAAAAAAAAGTTAAGGATCAGATGGATTCACAGCTGAATTCTATCAGACATTTAAAGAAGAATTGGTATGAATTTTACTGAAACTATTCCAAAAGATAGTCAAAGAGGGAATCCTCCCTAATTCGTTCTATGAAGCCAGTATCACCCTAATACCAAAATCAGGAAGGAACATAACGAAAAATGAAAACTACAGAACAATATTACTGATGAACATAGATGTAGAAATCCGCAACAAAATACTAGCTAACCAAATCCAACAGCATATCAAAAATATAATACATCATGAACAACTATGTTTCACAACAGGGATGCAGGGATGGTTTAACATACCCAATAAATGTGATACACCACAAAAACAAAATTAAAAACCATATGATTTTCTTAATAGATGCAGAAAAATCATTTGACAAAATCCAGCACCACTTTATGATTAAAACACTCAGCAAAATTGGCATAGAAGGGACATACCTCAGGGTAATAAAGCCATCTATGACAAACAAAAGCCAACATTATGCTGAATGGGGAGAAGTTGAAAGCATTCTCCCAGAGAACTGGAATAAGACGAGGATGCCTACTTTCACCACTTCTGTTTAACATACTGGAAATTCTAGCCAGATCAGTTTAACAAGAGAATAAAATAAAGGGCATCCAAATGAGTAAAGAGGAAGTCAAACTGTCACTGTTTGCTGATGATATGATTGTATACCTAGAAAACCCTAAAGACTCATCCAGAAAGCTCCTACATCTGACAAATTAATCACTAAAGTTTGAGGATACGAAATCAATGTACACAAATAAGTAGCACTGCTGTATACCAACAACCAAGCTGAGAATCAAATGAAGAACTCAGTTCCTTTTAGGACACCTGCAAATATATATGTATTTATAAATAAATAATATATATATAAATATACATTTATAAATAATACACACACACACATCTCTATAAGAAAAACTGCAGAACACTGCTGAAACAAATCATAGATGAGACAAATAAAAACACATCCCATGCTCACAGATGGGTAGAATCAATATAGTGAAAATGATCATACTGCCAAAAGCAGCCTACAAATTCAATACAATTCCCATAAAAATAACATCATCTTTTTTATTTTGGTAGATATATCCTGATTGTTTGGCACAAGCCATATATGCAACATTCCATGAAGCATTTCCAGAATCTAGTTACCGCTTTAATGATGAATTTAAAGAAGATCTAGGAAATAACATTTTTCTTTGGTGTTCAGGTATGAATATATCATTTAAATATTGATCATTGTTTTGGTTTCTAAAAGTTTGGAGTGGCAGTATTTTATTTATTTCATCCAAAAAAAACACCTCTATCCTAGAATATTTATCAAGAGATTTAAGTACTAGGGTTTAAAACTAAAGTATAAAAATATAGTTTCATGTTCCTGGAATGACCTCCCAACGTTTTATAAGATTGTTATTATGAACCACCAGAAACTATTAACTGTTTTCACATAGTTCTTGTAAATATTTCAATCTAAATGTTATCTCATTTTTAAAACTGCTTAATCTCAGTTTTTACTAACCAAATCACTTTTATAAGAAAATGTTTTATACTTTATGGAGAGAGCCTTTGAGGGGTAAAGACTTGAAAACAACCCTGAAAAACCCCCTGTGAATACACACAGGTAAGAATCTCCTGCTAATCATTTAAAATATCAAATTAATTCAAATATAAAAAACAAAAAGGAAATGTCCACAGCATTCATACAAAGATACTATAAGAAAAAAACATGATGAAGGTCAGAAGAATTTTTTTACAGACGTATTATTAAGTGAATTTGTCTTCCCCCAAATTTATATGTTGAAGTAAATTCTTAATCTCTACTGTACTTCACAATGTGACTGTATTGGAGGTATGGTCTTTAAAGAAGTAATTAAGGTTAAATGGCATTACATGGGTGGGCTCTAATCCAATATGATTGGTGTCCTTATGGGAAGTGGGAGAGATAAATGATATGAGCAACATGGTGGATTAGGTTATCTTTTATCTCACTGTCACACACACAAAATAATTAGACATCTACCCATGAACGAAAATAGTCCTAGAAGGGTTCAAGAGTCAAATTTAAAACCTACATCAACACAGTACAGCAAAAACCAATAACTGCACAGAAAAGATTGCTGGGGAGATTGGCATATGTGAGACATCTGGATACAGCTAGGCACAAAGACAGGTGAGGAAGAGCAGAATCAGTCATGAAGCAGGTACCACTTTGGTCTCCAGTGGCCTGCTCTGCAAAAGATCCTAGCAGCCTTTTCGACTAAGGACTTCAACAGTCCTCGAGGCAGCCACATACCCCCTATAGCTTTCACATCGTATGTCCCCTTAGTGTTCATCCTTTTTTTCTTCAGGACACAGAGAACACTACTGGCTCTTGCCACTGAGATAGTTAACCAACAGCCATTGCTGTTTTTACCTCCTGGGGAGAGAGACACTGCTATGCTTCGACCTCAATAAGAAGCCACTGTTGTACTACCCAGGGCTAGGGCCACCACTCACACCCAAAACCATGCATGCCGCAGACTCTAGAGACACAGACACTCTGTGCATACCCACATTCTAAGTCTCAGCTTTGTTGCAGGAGCATGCATGCCCATGTTTCATACCCCAGAGTCATTTCCACAATAAACTAGCCTTCACCAGGGACCATGGAACCACTTTTACTCCACACATGTCTGTACTTTAAACTCCAGCTCTATAGCCATTCCATAAACACCTCCTATGGACATCAGCTGCATTTGCATTCTGGACTCTAGAGCAACAGTGAATTTTCACATGCCCCTGCTCTGGACCGCAGATCCTAGGGCAAATCCACCTGCACTCATGGCACTGAATCCACTACAATACTGCCTCAGATTCCTGAGGTCTGCATGAATTTATACTCCAGACCTCATTTTCTTGCTTTTCTAGAAGTTCCTATGCCTCACACACCATTCCAAATGCTGCTGCAGGGAACCTGCATCACAAGCACCAATGTCCCTGTTGCCCCAGACCCTAGAGCCACCGACCCTTCATAGGTACTCATACTCTAAGTCTTGGCACCATGGCCACTTCGTGGGCACCAGACATCAGACAGTGCTGCTACCACCACCACCACAAGAGGCCTGCAAACTTAACCTAGAATTTTTTGGGATATCTGCAGGCATGAATTCCACTATAGGAGAAAAAGAGATTAGTAGGATCCCAGCAGTCTTTGTAACTGAATACCCTAACAATCCTCACAGCCATTGCAGATACCACTAGCCTTGGCAACTGAGGATGCTGCAATTTTCGCTAATGCTGACTTCATCTGACAGAGCTGCATGGGAAATGTAAGCTGTTGCATGCTCATGAAGCCAGAAACACTACACCTCACCTAGCCAATGCCTTTATACCCACCCATAGTTGAAGTTCTTTTCTCACCAAAACCAGCATGTCATTAGAGAAATGCAAATCAAAACCACATTGAGATACCATCTCATGCCAATTAGAATGGCGATCATTAAAAAATCTGGAGACAACAGACCCTGGAGAGGATGTGGAGAAATAGGGATGCTTTTACACTGTTGGTGGGAGTGTAAATTAGTTCAAACATTGTGGAAGATGGTGTGGTGATTCCTCAAGGATTTAGAAATAGAAATTCCATTTGACCCAGCAATCCCATTACTGGGTATATACCCAAAGGATTAGAAATCATTCTGTTATAAAGACACATGCATACGTATGTTCATTTCAGCACTGTTTACAATAGCGAAGACTTGGAACCAGCCCAAATGTCCATCAATGATAGACTGGATAAAGGAAATGTAGCACATATACACAATGGAATACTATGCAGCCATAAAAAGGATGAGTTCATGTCCTTCATAGGGACATGGATGAATCTGGAAACCATCATTCTCAGCAAACTGACACAAGAACAGAAAACCAAACACCGCATGTTCTCACTTACAAGTGGGTGTTGAACAAGGAAAATACATGGACACAGGGAGGAGAGCATCACACACTAGGGTCTATTGAGGGTGGAGGGCTAGGAAAGCAACAGCGGGGGGTGGGGAGATTGGGGAGGGATAACATTAGGAGAATGCCTAATATAGGTGGTATGGGATGGAGGCAGCAAACTACTATAGCATGTGTATACCTGCAAGATCAGCCCATATACCCCAGAACTTAAAGTAAAATAAAACAAAAATTTAAAAATATTGGTAAATTGGAGTTTATAAAAATAGAAACTACTCTTCAAAAGACACTGATAAGAGAATGAAAACTCAAGCCACAGACAGAGAAATATTTGTGAATTTCTTATCTGATAAAGGGTTTGTATCTAGTATGCATAAAGACTTCAAAACTCAGTGTTAATAAATAATTCAATAAGAAACACACAAAAGATATGAACACATCATCAAAAATGACTTACAGAAGGCAAATAAGCTCACAAAAACATGCTCAACATCATTAGACAATTGGGAAATGCAAATTAAGACAACACTGAGGTAAACTATATATTTGATTCATGGCTACCACTGAAAAATACCTGCCAAGTGCCAGCCAGAATGTGGGACAACTAGGACTCTCGTACATTGGGTGAATGGTACAGCCACTTTGGAAATCACTTGGCAGTTTCTTACAGAGTTACACATATGGAGCTGGGAGTAGGGGACGGGTTGCTTACAAAGGGGTAAAACTTCCTGGTGGGTGTGGGGGGAGTTTTTAAAATGGTTGAATTGTTTTGTATCTTGATTATTGTGGTGGTTACACAATGGTATGCATTGGTCAAAACTCACAGAACTGTACAATAAAAAGAGATATTAAAAATGCAGAAAATAATGCATATAGCATAAAATATGTATCAATCAACTCTTAATATTATTAGTAAGGCCCCCAGTCAACAGTAGACTATTAGTGTTTAGGTTTGGGGGGCATCAAAAGCTATGTGCAGATTTACAACTCCATGGAGTGTTGGTACCTTGACTCTCACATTGTTCAGGGTCATCTGTATACTCAAAGTTCTGAAAGAAAAATATGTCTAAGAATACTTTGCCTGGAAAAGCTATATTTCAAAAATTAAAGGAAAATAAAAGATTTACCAGACACACAAAACCGCACATAATTAATCACTCCTAGATTGCTTTAAAAGAAATGCTTAAGAGTTTTTCAAGATGAAAGGATGCTAATTAGTAATATGAAAACATGTGAAAGTGTAAAACTTACTGAAAAAATATGCATATAATCAAATTCAGAATATTCTAAATTGCAAGGTAGAGTGTGAATCACTTATAACCCTAATGCACAAAAAGACAAAAATATTAAAGATAATTATAGCTACAATAATTTGTGTATACACAATGTAAATTGTAAAAGATGTAAATTGTGACATCAAAAAACATAAAATAGGGGGATATAAAAGTGTAGACCTTTTTTTTTTTTTTTTTTTGAGACAGAGTCTTGCTCTGTCACCAGGGTATAGTGCAGTGGCATGATCTTGGCTCACTGCAATCTTGGCCTCCTAGGTTCAAATGATTCTTGTGCCTCAGCTTCCCAAGTAGCTGGGATTACAGATGTGCCACCACACCCAGCTAATTTTTGTATTTTTAGTAGAGATGGGGTTTCACCATGTTGGCCAGGATGGCCTCAATCTCCTGACCTCGTGATCCATCCACCTTGGCCTCCTAAAGTGCTGGAATTAGAGGCCTGAGCCACCACGCCCGGCCAAAATTGTAGAATTTTTAATGCAAAGTTAAGCTGTTATGATACCAAAGTAGACTGCTGTAATTATAATAGGGTTTATATAAGTAAAAACCTACAGTAGACACACAAAAGAAACAGAAAGGAATCAAATTATAAAGCTGGAGAAAATAATAAAATCACAAAGGAAGACAGCAAGAAAGTAATAAATGAGCAAAGGATCTGCAAAATCAACCAGAAAACAAAAAACAGAATAGCAGGAGTAAGTCCTAACATATCAGTTACATTGAATGTAAATGAATTGTAATCTCCAATCAAACGATAGAGAAGGACTGAATGGATAAAAACAAAACCCGACTATATGCTACCTACAACAGACTTATTTCAGCTTTGAGGATGCACATAGATGGACAGTTACGAGAGAGAATCCATGCAAATGGTAATAAACGAGAGTGAGAAAAGCTCTACTTCTATCAGATAAAATGGAAAAACAAAAACTTAAAAGACAAAGGTTATTCATATAATAAGCAATCAGTTCATAAAGAGGAT